CTCTCTCTCTCTCTCTCTCACACACACACACACTCGCTCGCTCTGTCTCGCTGTCGTTACTGTCACTCCCAAAACTCTCCCCTCTTCCTAAACAACCAAATCTCAGTGTTGATTTTTTTTTTTTAAATGGTTGACATGGTACATTTTTCCACCAGTAGGAAACATGTGGCTTTTTTTCCTTTCTTTACTGTTTTCGCGATGTCCTTAGAAAACGCTTAAAACACACACACAAACGTGATGACAGTATTTAGAAAAAAGCATGGCTTATATATATTATCATAACTGTGGATTTACTGGCCTGTAATTAAAAGTCCGACCTTTCAATGTGGGCTGAAAGAGAGACTCCGCGTGGCTGCAGCTTTTTGCTAACTTAAATCAGTAATGTGATTTGGAGGCGCAGCATGTCCGTGGACCACAGAGGGTTAATAACACTCACTTTCCTTCCATTTACAGAGTGTAACATCCAACCACCTGTGTAAAATCCGAAATTCCCATGGTGTTGTTCAAAATGTGGTCTGGCACAATCATAAACGTCGCTTGCTACTGAAAACAAGAAAAAAGCCATCCTGCTATGGGCTGAACCATTTGTTAATGGGGGGGGGGGGGGGGGGGGGGGGCACTATGCACTATATTCAGTTTTAGCATTTATATTCACTGTTGACTGTAACTATGCTCAAACTGTTAATGCTATCTTATTTTAATAAACAATGTCATATGCAAAACTGGGGTGGCACGGGATCATTTTAGGGTGGCACTTGCCACCCCATGCCACCCTTCTAGATCCGCCCCTGCTTATTATTCTTTTACTACTCAAATTTCCTATCTAGAGGGCCAATGTGCGTTTATCATCTTCCATATTGAGTTGATTGGTTCAATGCGTGTCACTACCAGATCAACTGCCCATTTGTGCATGTGTGAAGGTAACTCTACTTGGACAAACTGCTCGAAATGCGCTAACAGAAACATTTCAGGGATTTTGGGTCATTCTGCACTCCAGATGCATTAATTGCATTAAAAATTTTAATCACGTTGACCGCGATGGCAGATTAATTTGCGTTAATGCATTAATTTTGACAGCCCTAATTTAAACCAATTGAAATCATCACATTATTGTTTCTAGGACAGAAACAATATATAAATATGTTATATAATATATAAATTATATAAGTTATCAGCATTGTACTAGGGAGTGGTGTACTTTGAAACAGTTTTCTGACATGTGCTTATTTAATCAATCATCATTAAGCACTGGTAGTAGTTGAGATATTTTTAACAAATATCACGTTTCCCCACGTCTATATTATCAAACGAACCTGGATAAATATGACGGGTTACTGATTACATTTTACTCGAACCTCTTT